GGAGCCATTCGGCAAGGCCAGGCCTTGGCCAGCGAGGTGCCTGGGCAAGAGCTGGGGCCAGCCTCACTGCTGGGACACTGTCTCCCCCCGCCCCCTTCTCTCTGTCCCCTGGGAATATTAAGAGAGACACGTTTTAATCTATTTTTATTAGCTCATTGCTTATTAATATCACCAAGGAACCTACTTGTTTAGGCCTGTGCTGGCTTTTTCATCCAGAGGCAAATGGTGTCCCTTTCATTTAAGCCAAGGATTCCCAGCCCCAGCACAATGGGCCTTTTGGATCCGATAATTCCTAGTTGTGTGGGGGCTCTCCCGTGGACGCTAGGTATTCCGCAGTATCCCTGACCTCCCACTACATGCTGGATCTGCCCCCATCGCAGTGGTGGCAGTCTAAAACTCTCCAGACATTGCCAAAGACCCCCACCCTGCTCCCCCAGGTGGTGGGCAAAATCGCCCCTGGCTGAGAACCACAGATTTCAAGAAATGTAAAAGGCGCATTTTAGAGAGCATTTTAGAGATGGTCAAGCGGAATCTCCTTGCTGGAGGTTCCTAGGGGGAGGGGCGCTTTCTCTGGGCCCCAGTCAGTACTGAGGGGGGCTGGATGAGTCTAATGTAAAGTTTCACTCAGTTCCTTTGGGTAAAGCGCAAGGGGCATCTCAAGGGGTGGACCTCCTGAAAGAAAGCTCAGGTGTTGCATTTGATGTTGGGAGAATTGAACCTTTTGTTTCTGCTGAGCTTGGTTTAGCTCTGCTTTTGAGTCCAGAGGCAGGGCAAGGTACAGGCTTTAGGGATATGAGGTCATAGTTGGGTTGGAAGTCTGAGTGACAGCACTTGCTAGCTGTGTGACGCTGGGTAGCTCCTTCACCTCTCTGGGCCCACTTCCAGGTTCCTAACAATGAAGGACATGGAATCAGTCTGTGCGACACTCATTTAATAGTCACCGCACCCAGGCTTTAAGAAGGGATAGAAATGGGTCTCCAGGTTGAGGCCTGCAACATTTGGCTTTCCTTATTTCCTGTGTCTTAGCCACATTCCACCAGGTCCAGGAATGACCCTTAGCAGGCCGGGCCTGGCTTCCTCTTCAATCCGCATCCCTCCCAGGATTCCATCTGCCACCATACCTTTGTCTTGGTCCCCAGCCGAGCTGTCCTTTTCCCAGATAACCTCAGACCTACCCGAATGCCAGCAGCATTCCTCCAACGGAGCTGAGCTGCCAGAATAAGCCAGCAGCTTCCTGCTCTTTGCCCCAGAAAACATTTCAAGTGATCAAGTGATGGGGAGAGGGCGGAGGGCGGGGGAGGATGCGGCAGCTGCTTATGCAACAAGCTTTAATCCAGGGTTAAAATCCTCCGCGCGCACCCGTGGCCGCTTTCATTTCCTCATCGGGTCTTGGAAGTTAGCTGCACATCAGATCCGCCACCAGCCCCGCCATCCTGTTGGATCCCCCAAAAGCAGCACCTACAGAAACCGTGTTCCCAGTGGGATGGTGGAGGGCTGCCGCCCGCACAGCCAGGAGAGCACAGCTCCACGGCTCAGGCCTCTGCCATTTGGTCCCTGGAAGTTCCCCTCCCCAGGAAGAGCTGGCTTCTCCCTTCTGGTGAGGCCTCTGCCTGTTGCACTGGGTGCTGGATCTTTGTCAGCCCAAGTGGCTACATCTCAGCCGCAGCAACCTAAAACAAGGAAATCCTGTCCCTTTTCAAAAGCCTGGGCCTGTCCTACAGTACAGTGTGTTTGGATCCCCGGCCAGATCCTGATTCTAAGATTCCCGGCCAGGAAGAATTTACACACACGCTCTAGGCATCGCTGGGGGCGGGGGCAGGGAGAGCAAGCAATCTGCTCTTGGCTTTCTTTGTGGGATGGTGTGGGACCAGAAAGTCCACAAGTCCTCTTTTCCGAAGGAGAGGAGACTTCAGGGTAGCTCGTAAAGAAAGGCATTTATTTACCTTCTGTTGTTCTGGCTTGCGTTTTTTAAAAACAAGTCTTTTTAAGCACCTGATTGTTTAAAAATAAAATAAATGCAGAAAAAGAAAGCATCCTTGAACATTTTTAAGATCCACTTGGATTGGCCTTTCCTTTGCCTTCTCCACAAAGGCAGCTTTAGGAAGAAACAGGCTCTGGCCTCCTAATACTATGGAGATGGGTGGAATTATAAGCAGCTCGGAAAAACTAGTTAATGTTTTACTGGGGAGCAGTGCCGGAGATGGGGGGGCGGGAGGGGCCACCAAGTGTAGGTCTGTGTAGCTGTTGCATCTGCCTTCGGAGCCCAAAGAAGCCGGTCTCCGTGGACATAAATCGAAGCAAGAATCTTTATGAAGCTCTTGGGATTTGTGTGCCCCTGAGGAGGGCCCAGTTCCCTAGAACACACTTCAGGGAGGAGTGGCGGGAAGGGCTAACCTGTGGGTGTGCAGGCCCCACTGTAATAAGGGTGCTTGTTTCCTGGCCGGGTTTGACATCTTTCTTTCTCCCTCTGGATTTAAATGGCTTCTCAGACTGAGAGGCAGACTGCCTGTGGCCTGGATTCAGAAGGTACACGCCTCCTCGGGAAGCAGAGGCGAGAGACAGCGGCTCTCTCTCTCTCTCTCTCTCTCTCTTTCTGCATCTGCCCGGCGAGCTGCAGCTGGTACTTTTCCACAGGCCTTTTCTGCGATCTCAGGGCCTCCTTTTTCCCAGCCAGACCCAGAGTCCGAGAGAGGGTTAACAGGCAGGAAGCTGCAGCCATAGCAGACTAATACGGAAGTCAGATTTTTGTTTAACTGACAGGTTTAGCAGGCCTCGGGGGTGGGGGAGGGGGTTGGAGGGGAAGGGAAGTTAGTAGGTGGAGGCCTGTGGCCTGCTAGGGACGGATTTGGCTTTTCTTAGGGTAAGCAGGAGAGGGCCCCCCCTTGGCAGCTTGGCAGGGAGGCAGGAACCATTTTGCTCTTCCTTTGAGGACCGACCGAGGGGGGCCAGGGGTTAGACTCTGGCCTGGCCGGCAGTGACTCTCTGGCCTGCTTTTCCAGGAGGCATTTTGACAATGACTGTGCAGACTTGACCACGCTCCCCTGCTCCCCTCCTTCCCGCAGTGGCCGGCTGCTGTCTTGGGAGAAGCCCGGCGGCCTGGGGCTGATTTCCTGGGGCTGGCAGCAGAGCTGCTCTGAGGCCTCCCTCCAGCCCTTCTCCTGTCCCTCTGAGTCTTTCCTGGACTCCTCGCTCCTGCTCAGCATTCCCCTTGGAGAACCACTCTGCCGGCTCGCCGTAGGGAAGGGCCAGCCTTTCTCCTTAGGAGCAGGCCAGGGCCGTGGGGCCAGGTGAGGGTGAGCCTTTCCAGCCCACCCCAGATGCTGCCTTCCCAGTGGCCTCCGGGCCTCGGGCTCTGCAGGAGCAGGTCAGGCTGGCCGCACTGGTTCGCCAGTGCCGGGGAATCCAGCCAGGGTGTGGGAGAAGTGCGTGCGGGGGCCCCTTTCCCAAGTTTTTCTTGCCGCAAAAGGCCTAGCTTAGCCTGTCTTTTTCTATGCACAGGATGGCTCTGGCTCACCCGAGCCTCACAAAGATAATCGCTCAGGAAGTGTTTCAGCCAATCCGGGGCCGCTTTACACTCCGATTGGCCGGCGCAGCCAATCGGGGATGAGCTTTTATTAGGCGGCCAGATCATCAGCCGAAGTGCCAAACCCTTTTTCTGTGAGAACTAGGAGCCTGTCCTCCATGTTTTATAAGTATTGACATTACACAGTGTTAACAATGCATCCACAGAGGTAAGCTCGGCTTTTTAACCATCTTTTTCCCCCTCCCTCTGAGACATCCGAGTTGTGGGCGAGCAGTGTGACTTCTCTGTGGCTGGCTGTGCCACACTCACCCCAGAGCACTTAGGTTAACTTGGAACTCTTTAGAGAGATTTTTTTTCTCCTTTTTTTTTTTTTTGCTTTCTTGGGTCACATGGCTGAGTAGCCATTAGCCATAGCTTGGTTTTGCAACCTGGCAAGGGCCTGGCACACCTTTGCCTCCACCAGGGCATGGTGTTTCTGGAATAGTTTGAAGCTAGACCCTGGTATGCCAAGAGAGAAGCTTTCTTTTCCTTTTTTTCCCCTCCTTTCCCTCCCTTCCCCTCTCCTTCTCTCCTGAGCAGTTTCCCCTGCACTATTGTCTTCTCTTGGGTCACATGCCTGCTGGGGGAAGAAAATGGAAGGTGAACACGCAGGCTTCTCTCCAAGGAGCGCTCATGGCAGACAGCAGAGCAGGCAAGTTTGCCTTCCCAGAGAGGTTCTGGGAAGGCTGGACTAAGTTCTGACAAGAGAGGCCGTGCGCTGGAAAGAGAGCCCAGCCCTCAGCACAGCAGCCAGGAGCCAGGGTAGCTCTGGGCCTAGGTGGGTGGCGGGGTGCGTGCCTCCTCTTTCTCTTCCTCTCCAGAGCTTCTCCCTTGAAACTACATTGTTCAGCCTTTTCTCCTGACTTAGCTTGATACAGAGTGTTCTGCAAACCAGCCTACAGCCAGCCAATGTTTCTGAAAGTGTTTGCTAGGCTCTGGAGGAAGTTTTTGGAGTAGGGATAGGGTTTGGGGGGCGGGGTGGGGGGTGGGAGAATCTTGGACAACATCCTGCATAAAAAAGAAAGAAAGAAAATCTGGGAGGACCCTGAAGCGCTCAGCTTTCTACTCTTGCATGATTTTCAATGAACTAATGTATCTTTTATCTTTGTTTTCATTTTTTTCCCCTTGTTTTAAACATTGTATCATCCTCTGTGCTCCTGTGTGATAGAGTGCAGAGGAAATAAAATCATGTTTGTGGCTCCTGACAGCATTCCCTATCCAGTTGTTGGGTTGTATTGTTGTGGTGCTGGTGTGTGTTTTTAATAATACCATGTAACTGTTTAAAAACAATTTCGTTTTTGATCAAGTCCCAAATCTGCCAGGCTGTTCTCTCTTCCTAACTGTGGAAAAATGAGACGGTTACTTGAACATTTGTTGGGTAAGTAAAGCAATCCATTTCCTCTGTGACCATGTAGCCAGAGTTTTTGTGAACATTTGGGGTCTGTTTGGAAGAGGGGGTCTTGGCTACAGCAGCTGGGGGCTTCATTAGCAGGAACAAAATAAGAGCTTTTAAAAAGAGAGTCTGGAGTTTAGGTGACTATTTGCATCCACTGTTTTTCCTGATAACCTGCAGCTAGGAGGGAAGATTTCACTTCCTGTTTACCCTCAGCCAGGGGAGAAATGTTCAGGGCATCGTCTCTTGCTTCTTTCTACACCTTTAACTGGGTTTGTTTGGATCTTAGGACTCTGGGTAGGAGGTCTGCTTGTTGTTAGTTAATGCAACTGCTTGTTCTTAAGTCACAGAGCCCTACAAACATGGGGGGCGGGGAGCTAACTGGTGGTGTGCGTGTGGGGGTGGGTTGTGTCAGTAGTTAGTTTTAGGGTTACTTAGTGCAAAATCCCATCCACCACCAAACTTGATTTCATTCAGGACTCAACTGACCAACAGAGTTGGCCTTTTTCCACGCCTGACCCACACATCTGTAAGCATGCTGGCCTGACTCGGCTTTATTTGTCTTTTTCTACTTTTCCCCTGATCTCTGGATGCTGTAGCTAGAATTTAAAAGTGAAAAGAAAAAAAAAAAAAGTCAACTTCTGCTTAGCGTTACCTTTAGAATTCCCTTGGAAATTCATTCCATACATTTCCAGCTGGGAGACCAATTCAGCAGGATTTTAAGTGCTAGAAATATATTCAGTATCTGTGTTATGCCAACTTGATGAAGTCAGTTAATCTTTTTTTTTCTTTTTAAAGTAGTGTCCAGCCTCCCAACTTTTGACACCAGTTGGATGAAGGTGCATTGAATAAGGAGAAATGCACCAGATTCTAATTTGAAGTCAAGGTGGGCCAGCAATCTTAGAGTCAAAGCGCAGAGGGTGGTGATATTTTATATGGAACAGCCCCCCCCCCCAACTTAAGTTCAGACTCTTAGCTATTTTCTTTGTTCTTATCTCCTTGCTCTAAATGGAAATTTCATATTGAGCTTCTCCTGGTCTCCCTAGAAGCAATATCTAATCACAAGACGCCTGGTTTGGTGCCTTCAGTGTTTGCATAATACTGTGTTTGTTGGGCTGCAAGGAGACTTAAGGGCAGAGCATTGGTTCTCTAAAAGCTTGCATTAAAATGGCTCCCACAGGTTTGGAAAGCTAAGACCTGTTTTCAAGTGTGCTGCCCCAGCACCTTCCCAGCCCTGGATCAAGCTGGTCACTTTTCCTCTGGTACTGTGGCCATCACCAAGCACGGGGCAGTAAAAAGTTAATTGCTTTTCAAAGTAGCCCTTATTTCCCAGTTCCTAAAGGGAAGGAATGTCTGCATTGCAGCAGGACGAGGTAGAGACAGCAGTGTGGGCCCACGGAGCAGCCCAATGGGCTTCCTCTCTCTGGCTCTTGAACCAATAGACTGGGAGGAAAGGTTAAAGATTGACAATTGCAGTGGCCGGACTGAGAAGGGGTGTTCTGGAAATTTCTACTACCATCTTTGTTCCTTTCAGGAAAAGCAGCTCCCCAGGCTGAAGAGTCCTACATTCCATTCCTCGGGCATCCCCCTTCCTCCCCCCTTGCTTCTCTCATCAAGGTAGAATGTTCTTCTGCCACATTGGTAAATTGCAGAGGGAGGAACAGAATGATGGGCTGTTTTCCTTTTTCCTTCTGCCTCCTCGGTCCCCAAAGAGGATGACAGCTGCAAGGAGCAAACACAGACACACTGGAGCTTTTGATTCCTTTTTTTCCTCCAAGACCCTCCAGGATGGATGCACTTTCTGCTTTGGGAAATTAAGTGGTATTCACGTGGGGGAGGGGGAAGCAGCGGCTTTTATTAGCTCCAGAAAATGGTCAGTGTTCAGTCTGTAACTAGGAATTAATTATATATAATCACTCAGTAAACTTTCTTCAGAGTTTTTCTAATTGCTGAGCATGAACATAGTGAGGCCGTTGGAGCCAAGTCCAGCTACTTTTATAATTAACAGCTCAAAGATTTGAGTCAGAAAGAAAGAAACAATGAGGGCCTCTTGGTTATAAATTAGGGATGAAAACAATAGTTATTTTCCTTTCTTTCTTGTAACCCCTTTTCTTTTAAACAAAACATCCCCCTTTTCTTTCCCTGGGGAGAGCCAGTAGGGATCTTAGAAGTAGAAGACCGAGTCACTCTTTAGAAAGCTGGGTGACAGTAACCCAGCAAAACCTGCAGGCAGGGGTGGGTTTTGGAAGGACCAGCCACTTCCAATGGGTGACCTTCTTTGTTTCTTCGGCCTTCTCTCCCCTTCTCTCCTCTGGCAGAGGCAGCCAAACATTTGTCAGCCCTGGATCTTGTTTTGCCTCTGGTTGACCCTGAAAAGAAAGATACATTCAAGGGGGCCTTCCCCACCCTGCAGCAGAGACCTGAAAGCCGGCCTGTTGGGAGGCCCCAAGTTGTTCTTAAAATGCACAAACAAGTAAGGATTCACCCTTGGCCTCAGGTTGCTGTACTGGGGCTGCCCTTCCCCCCCTGCTCTCCTTACAGACAAACAAGCAGGCGGTGGCCACGCCAGCTCTGCAGCCTGAGCCTGCCAGGCTGGCCCTCCCCATCGCGGTCACCTACCTACCGGCCGGCACTGTGCCCGTCCTCGCCCTGGCTTGGCCCTGGGCTCTGTGCCCTCTTTCTCCCCTGGAGCAAAAAAGCAGTCACCTTGAAACTCCTCATTCCCAGCTCTGGAGGAATCCTGAGGCCAATTCTCAGACCTTAACAGTAAATGACATTATCCACCACGAGGCTATTAGTTTGGCCTCTGAAAACGGGTTTTGGAAAACCTATTGTTCATTCTCAGGGCCCTGTTGGGGGTGGACAGAAACCTAATTTGTGAGTATCCTGTTCCTTGGAGAGGGGAACGTGCGACTTGGGGTTTCTCTTTTGCAGACTGGGGTTGTCTTTCCTTGATGTTCACGTCTTAGGGGTGGCTCTGCAGAGGGCTGGGTGGATGGTGGCCGTTTTCAGGCTCACAAACAGCCTTTTAATTTTACCTTGGCCTCAGCCTGGGGTGCAGCCCTCCAGCTTAGCTCTCCAGATGCCTGCTGTTCCAGAAGCACTTTCATTTTACCTCACTTGCAGGATGGATGCAGAGCTGGCCGCCCTGCACTGAGAAGGGGGAGTGGGCTTCTTCCCACCCCCACCCCGCCCCCACCCCCAGCCTGCTCCCTGGGAACATTTCCTGTTTGCAGGGACACCTGTCTGGCTGCCAGTGTGATTCCTAACCGTCCACCCACCTAGTTCCAGGGCAAGAAGGCCCCATCCCAGAGCCTCCTGTTGAAGGCTCAGAATCTGAAAGGGAATTCTTTTCCTCAGGAACCTGCGACTTCACAAACTCTCTCTCCCTGTCATTGCAGGTTCTTTTTTTTTTTTTTTTTTTTAAGCTTCTAAACGTTGGGTTGTTGGTGTCCTTTGGTCGAGCTTCTCCTGGTTCTGATATTTAGGAAGGTGGCTTTGAAACTAGCAGGGCTGCTTAGACACAGGCTCAGCTATTGAACAAACTGCTACCATTTTAGCTTCAATCCAGGAATGAGGCAGTGTTGCCAGACGCCATTTTAAGAATCCTGCATAAATAGCTTAGCCACCGATGACGGCCTGTTTTAGGTGAGTGCTTATACAAAGCTGCTCTGCTAACCATTCCCTCCCCCTGCCAATTTAGAAAAAAATTAATTGCAGATTTTAGGGAAGCATGTTTTTTTTTTTAAATTTGGATGTTCACTGTTTTGTGTTCTAGAAGAGGAAGATGTTCTGCCTTGGGGATTAAACATTTCTTACAGCCTGGACCATTTTGGGATTTTGAATGAAAGTAAAAAAGCCAAGAAAAGTCCTGTCGAATGATGCATGATTCTTGAATTGCCGTGTGATGAGCCTCCTCTGAGAACCAGGGTCTTGTGCATGCTGGTTATATATTCTAGATGGGTTAGAGATTGTTGGTTAAAAGTCAAATAGAAAGGGCACTTAGGGAAAAGAAATATCTGGGCATTGTGTATCTAGGCATTTTTTTTTCTGTCAAACCTGGATGCTTTTTCTTGTCTCTCTCTCTCTCTCTTTCTCTCTTTTGGAAGTGTGGAAGGGATGAGATTCCTGGGAATTACGGACCAGCCCTGAGCCCTTCTGAGTCCTCAGAATTAATAACCAGAAGGCTTAAAGCATCCTGGAGGTGTAGCAGTTCATCTGTAACTTTTAATTGCTCTTTTTTTTTCTTTCTTTCAGTGCATGCAGGTTCAGAAGTAAGCACAGACTTTTCTTGATTTGGCATTGGGGGAAAAGCTTTTATTCTTTTGGGGGCCAGGGTGGGGGATGGTCTTCGTTGTGTTTATAGGTGCTGTTCTTCTTCCTTCTTTGAATTGCCTGGACTGTATCAGTTTGTGAAATCCACAGGCAAGTGACTTGGGTAAATGTGAGTGCCAAAGGTGGTGGTGGTGGTGGTGGTGGCGGCGGCTACAGTAATGTATACAACTAGTTGATGGTGAATTTTCCTATGGGGCTGTGGGGTGGTTTTCAGCTAATCTCACCCTTTTCTTTTAGCGGCCCCCAGTCTCCCCAATAGACCTTTAAAAAAAGAAAAGGCGTGCCAGTTTGCAACCAGGACTTGTCCTTCCTTTGTTTTTGATTTAAATGATCAGGTTGCAGGAAGCTAGCAGATATGGAAGGAGAGAAGCTATGGATTTTCTAAGACTTAATGTGTTAATGGCAGAAGTTCAAAGCATCTCCCCAGATGCAGCCGCCTTTTCTTTTTAACAAATATTTGACTGTTTTTCCCCCAAATGACCTAACAGTTCTTAAACCTAAGTTGACTAGGATCTGTTGGGCATCCAGATAGATACAAATCTTCTCTCATCACCCCTTTTGATGCAATATTTATAGCCCCCCCCCCCCAACACACCAGTACTTAACACTAAACAACAACAACAACAAAACCCTGAGATCAGTGGTGTAGAAAAAAAGGGAAGTCTCTTTAGATGTGGCTATTGGAAATGACTAATTGTGCATTCTGGTCTTTGCTTTTGTAAACGAAGTTTTTTTCCCCCTTTTAATGCATAGGCACTGCAATTTCCTTTAGTCAAATATAAGTGTGTGTGTGTGTGTGTGTGTGTGTGCACGCGCGCATGTGCCTGGGCATATATGTGCACGGGTTTCTTTTGAAAGGATGGCTTGCTCATCTGTGAAAAAGATGGTTTTCTCAAACCGTTGTGCTTGAAATCCTGGGCTAGGGCTGGTGGTGCTGTTGCTGAAGTTAGGTGATCCTGGTGCCCACTTGTAATACTTGGAAGGATAAAACAGCTCAACTTTCCCCCCTCTCTTTTGCTCCAGAATTGATTATCTTAAACTCAGCAGCAAACAGCTACCCCATAACTAGTTTGCATTTCTTAGCCTCTCAGCAGCATTCCTGCCTCAAGTATTCAGCTCCTCCAGGCTGTTACAAGCCAAATAATTGTTCTCTTGAATGCCTTCCTCCTCCATGATCAATACACCTTTGAATGTTTTCATCGCAGCAGCAGAAATCCTTCAAGTGGGTTTTTGGGCTCTGTTATGCCTAATTGTTGCTTTCTCCACTGTACGTTTTAGTTGGAGCCCAGATTAGCGTTTTCTGCATCATTCAAAATATGGGATCGGTTTCAAGAAGTTTAGGATTTCACAGACTTCTTGCTAGAGAGGGAAACCAAATTCTAGTTGCTAGAAAGATCAAGGTTGCTCTTTAACCTTTTGAAGTTAACCATCCACCCATCTCTGAGAGCGGTGTGGGGCTTTTTGTTAAAATCTATTTCCAGTCCCTCCAAGCAAGAACCAGCCCAGCAGCACAACCCGTGTGTGTGTGTGTGTGTGTGTGTGTGTGTGTGTGTGTGTTCGATCCAGAGGTGTGTTGTGGGCTGAGATGTGTAGCTCTGAAGTTGGAGCAAAGGAGTCTTAGTGCTAAAATCACCTTCGATCAGTCACCGTTGTGTTATTGTATGTTAGTGAGGTGTTTAAATTTAGCAGGCTGCTCTCTTCTGACGAAAACCATTTGTGACAACGTGTCAGTTGTTTCTTTGGTGATTTGTGTCACTGGCTTCTCTACAGATGCTGTGCAAATTAAGTTGTTAATGGGGTCCAATATCGGAATGCTAAATGTGTTAATATCCTGATTTAAACCCAGGCCAGCCTCCTCCTCCTCCTCTGCTGGGGACTAGTTGGTGGAGGCCCGGAGCTCCTGTAATTTAATCCTGAGCTATCATCTTTTCCTTTCTGCCTGCCGCCCATCCTGAACTCTCCTCCCAGCAAACCTGGGGCTCTTCTGAACACGTCTCCATCCTACACTGGGGTTCCAGGCCCAGGCTTCCTTTCTGGACTCTTTTTGGCCTTGTCACTGTCTCAGACGGCCCGACACAGACAGGACCTTCTTCTCTAGCCTTCTTCCTGCCCTGGCTTGAGTCTTCCCAATGGAAAATTCCAGCCCTGTCGGTTGGCGACGCACCTCTTGCTCCTTGTGGAGCTGTGGTCTGATGGAATCGCATTCTGAGTGGTGGCTGAGTGGAAAGTTCTAGCGCCTCCAGCCCTTCTTCACACCTATAACCTCACGGCTTCACTTCTTCCCGGGGCCTGGCTTGGGAGGTGGTATGGGGGGAAGATCTGGAATGGCCCAAGTTCCAGCGGAGAGGGAGAGAAGGTTCTGGAAGACTTTCCAGCTAAGGGTGCTTGCTTACCTTCCTTCTCTCCCCATCCCCGATTCTTGGCGGGGTCTTTCCTCATTCCACTTTTGTCGGGGAGGATAATTAGTCCAGCTCTAGAGGGAGCCAAGCCTGCCCTACAAGGACCCACCATGGAGGGGTGGGGGGTGCACAGACACCTAATTCGTGGAGTCGATGCTGATTGTTGGAATTGTTTTGCAACCAGAGTGGGCATATTTCACTACTTTGTAATTTAACCTGTATCTTTTTTTTTTTCCTCATTGTGTTCCTGCCTCATCAGAGAATTGTAAGATTTTGCGGGGGGGGGGGCAGTCTGGGAAATACTCACTGCAGAGTTTAGAGATGAGAACTCTGGGAACTCTGCGAACCCTTCCCGCTGCCTGACTTTGAACCCAGTGCTGGCAGTGAGAAGCTTGTTTGTTTGAAGGCTGGGTTCTCATGAGCCCAAAGGGGTAGTTTGTAATTGTGTATCCAAAAAGATTTGCTTCTTTGCATACCCAATAGCATGACAATTGGAATAGTAATTTGACTTAAAGAACCATCTAGGGTTTTAAAGAAGCCCTTTAGGAATCTTAGCACTGTGAAATCAGGTTTGTCCTTTCTCCTGTGGTGGAGAAGGATGGGGGCTTGTCTTACCGGTGGGCTGTGGCTAGGCTTCTCAGCGGCTGCCCCCAGGCAGGTTCTAGCTCACCTAAACATGAACATAATTTGCTCTATTTCAGCTTGGCTGAAGAGGAAATAAAAACAGAACAGGAGGTGGTAGAGGGCATGGATATTTCTACTCGCTCCAAAGGTGAGTAAAATTCTTACATTATCTATTTCTGCACAAAGGAAGGAATGGGGTTTTCTTTTTATTGTTGGGGAGCCGGTGAAGGGTGGCCCTCTGAGCTGGCATTGCAACAGTCCGTGAAGTGTGAGATGTGGACCCTTTGATGGCTGAACCTAACTTCTGGAGAAATCTTTTGATCGTCTTTCCCTTGCATGTATGCATAGGTGTACCTGCTTGTCGGGAATTGTCCCGACATTAGGTTTTGGGTATGTGTTGGGCCTGGGGATGGGCAGCTGCTGCTGGCTTCCTGATTGGGATCTCAGAAGTGGGATGAAGTTGGCCTGGTGCCTTGGGAAACGGTGGTCTTGGGTCGGAGATGAGAAGGAAGATCTGGGCTTTCTGGAATGCTGGGGGCAGTGTTGGCACATTAGGGCACATCCAGTTTGTTTGCTCAGGGTGCGAGCAGACTCCTCCGCAGGTGGCTGAGGGATTGGTGCTCCTCGGCTGGTCTGTGAGACTCACAGGCCCCTGCAGAGGGAGCAGGTCCTCACTCCTTCCTCAGTGTGCTTTTAGAAGTGCGCTGCTGAGTCCTCTTCAGGTCTGGTTGACGAAAATGCTTGTCCCTGAACTTAATGGCTGTACCAGTGTGTTTACTCCTTTAGCACCTCCCTGAGTGCCTGCTCTGTGTGCAGGGAAGTGGGAGGGGCTTCAGAGAGGGCGCTTACAGATTATTCCAGAAGGGCATTCTCATCTGGCCAGAGGATCACAACAAGTGACTCCCTAAACGCTCCTGAAACAACAACAACAACAAAAACGTTTTGAGGATTTTTATAAAGCAGCATGTCTGTCTCTCTCTTTCTCTCTCTCTCTCTCTCTCTCTCTCTCACACACACACACACACACACACACACACACTTATTTACTCATTTTTCGCAGTACTGGGGTGTGACCAGGGCCTTGTGCGTGACAGACAAGCACTTGACCACTGAGCTGCACCTCCAGCTCTTTTTGTTTTGGGTCAGGGTATTTGCTAAGCTGCCCATGCTGGCCTCGAACTCGGCGATCCTCCTGCCTCAGCTTCCCTAGTGACTGTGATGACAGGTCAGCATGGCATTTTGGGCCCAGCTGAGGCTCAGATCACCAGCAAGGCTGGGCTGGCTGGGGGTGGCCTGTGCTGGGGAGTAGGGGGAGGTCGCAGCTCCTTCCTGTGCAGGGCCATTGGGTTCCACTGTTGGGGAGAGTCACGGAGTACCTCACGCAGAGGAAGTGCCTTTCCAGAGCCGTGTTTGGAGACAGTTGTGCCCCTCGCCTGCTGGTGGCTGGGTGCAGTGAGCCTAGAGAGGTGTGGTGGCCTTTGTCCTTACTCTGCTGCTTGCTGTCTGTCTGACCTGCTGTTTTTTTATCTGTGAAAGGGGTGCTGAGTTCAAGTCTAAGGCTCCCTCTTCCCCCACAACTATAAAAATGGCCTTGTGTCTGTGGAGTGCTTATGAAGGCTTGGCCTATACCTGGCGCCTTCTCTTGTGAATTCCTCTAATCTTTTGTCTTTGTGGTGCAGGGCTTGCGCATGCTAGGCAGATGCTTTGCCACTGAGCCTCACCACATCCCCTTTGGTTTCTGATTAATTAATTATTATTATTTTTTTGTATCGGGGATTAAATCAGGGGTGCTCAGTTACTAAGCCACATCCCCAGCCCTTTTTAATATTTTATTTAGAGACAGGGTCTCGCTGAGTTGCTTAGGGTCTCATTAAGTTGCTGAGGCTGGCTTTGAACCCGTGGTCCTCTTGCCTCAGCCTCCCAAGCTGTTGGGATTTCGGTGTGTGCCACTGCGCCCAGCTGATTTTTTTTTTTTTTTTTTTTTTTTTTTGAGGCAGGGTCTTGTTAAGTTTGAGCTTGTGACCCTGCTGCCTCAGCTTCCTGGGAGGCTGGGGTTGTAAGTGAGCGCCTTTGTGCTCAGCCGCCAGTCCCCTTCTGAGGTGGGAGCTGTCATTTCCCCTTGCACATGAGGAACCTGAGGCTCCAGATGGTGGGGTCTCCTGGGTGGTCAGCAGCACAGCAGGACTGAATTGAGACTGGCTCCAAGGAGGTGCCTCCATCCTGGATGTGCCTGCAGTGGCCCGTAGACCCTCACGGTGACAGCAGGGCGCCGCCCTGCTCAGGCCCCATCTGCCTGTGGAGCCGCCTCTTCTGTTCCTGTAAGCGTGGAGACCTCTTCTCTTCATCTCACGCCCGGGTGCTCCTGACTCACCAGGTGGCAGCCCCTCTGCTGCCTGAGTGACTGCTTCGGGTGACCATGGCCTCTCCCTGCTGGAGCTAGGAGGATGTTAAAAAGCCTCTCTTTTTTGCTGGCCCCTCCACCGACCTGCCAGCACCCTCCGTTCCAGTCTGAAGTCCCTGTGCCCTGCCTCCCGGGATGGCCTTGCTCCCTTCCTCTTGTGACATCCTTTCTCCTTGGGCCATTTCTCCCGACTCCACTCCAGCTCCTGGCCTCCTTCTGTGCCCTCCCTGGGGCCTGCGTGCCCTCTGTCTGGAACACGCTGCCCTAGGACCTGGCTGCCTGTCTGGTTGTTTGGATTCGTCCCCAAGGGTGACTGTTCTTGGCCGCCTGGTCTGAAGGAGTCGTTCCTTCATTTTCTGTTGTTTTTTGAAATAAACTTTTTGCGTTTTAGAGTCACTTTAGATTTCCAGAAAAGTTGTGAAGACAGTGCTGAGAATTCCCACGTCACCCGGCCTGCGCGCCCACCCCACCCCGCTCCTAGCATCCTGGGTGCCAAGCATTGGTCAGGATCCGAGTCGGGGTGGCATGTCATTACCAACACAAGCCTTTGCTGTGTTCAGATGTCCTTAGTTTTGCCACTGAGGGCCCTTTCTGTTCCAGGCTCCCCTCCGCCATACCTGGTTGTCTTCTCTCCTCAGGCTCCTGGCTGTGACAGCTTTTCAGCCCTGCTTTCGATGACCTTGACAGTTTTGAGGCGTGGGCCAGGCGTTTGGTAGGTTGCCCCTTGCCTGGGTTCATGTGGCGCCTCTCAGGATGGATGGCGAGTTGCTAACCTCAGGATTGGCGGGATGGGTTTTTTTTTGGGAAGAACCTCTGAGGTACAGTGCCATTTCCGTCACATTAAGGGTGCCTGTTATCAGTGTGACTTACATCAGTGCTGATGTTGACCTTGGCCACCTCGCCTTGGTGACAGTTCCTTCGCTGTTCATACGGTGTCCTTTGGAGGGAGGTCGCCCAGGCCACACTTAGAGTGGGGGGTCCACTCCACCTCCTGAGGGCGGAGGAACTAAGGAAATTATTTGGAGCTTTTCTGTGTGGGAGGTTTTTGTTTCTTCTGCCCTCTTTGTTTGTTTATTTAATCCTTCATGTGAGTGTGAATTTAAGGATAATTGGTTTATATTTTGGGTTGTGATACAATGCTAATTATCTATTTTATTGCACATTGTTCCCATTTTGGAAGTTGAACCCCCCCCTCCCCATAACTGGGGATTGAACCCAGGACCCCTCTGCCACTGAGCTACATCCCCATCCCTTTTTATTTTTTATTTTGAGACAGGGTCTTACTAAGTAGTGGAGGCCTTGAACTTGAGATCCTCCTTCCTCAGCTGCCTGAGAGCTGGAGTCACGGCATCCGCCACCTCACCTCCATCTGTTTCTTTCTTTTTCTTTTTTTCCTTAATTGGAGAATGGTATTAAAAATCAAGATCTGGGCCTGGGGACATAGCTCAGTTGGTAGAGTGCTGGCCTCACATGCACAAGGCCCTGGGTTCAATGCCAGCACCAAAAAGAAAAAGAAATCAAGATCTGTGTGCTGGGCATGCTCACGGTTCCTGGGTGTCTGTGCTTCTAGGTTCTCTGATTGACAGGAGGGAAACATTTACCTGTGAGGTCGCCAGGGCATAGGCACCTGTCTGTCCATACTCCTGCATGGACCCATCTGTGTTAGCTAAACGTGAGATCATGAGATCCTGCACTTGACTGCAGGCTTTCCCATTCCTACACGGATCAGCTGTAGCCTCGTCCCTTAGTTGAAATCTCCCCTTTCAGCAGTGAGAAAGGTGGCTCCTGCTGTCTGCCCTTGGTGTACCATGTCCTGGTGCACAGTTAACCTGATCTGTGACATACAGCTTGACTGAATGACCGAGCGAACACTTGGGGCTATGACTCAGGTCAAGATGATCGAGCATCGTCAGCTTCCAGAAGGTTCCTTGATCGCTCAGATATTGCTCTCATACTGTATTTGTTGGTTTCTGTGCCAGAATGCGGATGCCTTTTTTAGAAGGGCCTGGGCCTCCATGCTCACTCCTCCTCTCCCTTCGGGGGTCAGGAACCGCAGAGGTTTCAAAAGCCAAACTCCTCCAGCCAGATTCCCTGGTTCTGGGTTGCCTCCTCCCTAGTTCAGTATTTATTCTTTGTGGCTTGGTTTCCCCACCTGGGGATGACGAGGACATAGGGTTAGTGCTGAGGTGAAGTGGCCCACCTGTAGAGTGCTCAGAGTGGAGTTGGGCCTTGGTGAGGGCCGAGGGGCTGGTCCTCTCTTGCAGAGACGGGCGTGTCCAGGTGGGCCTCCAGGGCAGGTCCTCCTCGCTGTTCTGCGCGCCCCACGTCTTCAGCCTCTGGGAAGAGGGTGTGCAGGGAGATGGGAAAACGGTATCCTGACTGACCCCCGCTCAACAGGGAAGGATCATGTAGGGTGGCCCCGCTGACGGCTTGGGACCTCTGTCTAGATCCCGACCCCGGGCACCGCCCTGCACCTGCCTGTCCTGCGGCCCCTGCGGCAGTGGGAGAGCGCTGCTCTGTCGCTGGCTGTTTGGGATGAGCTCCCAGGTGCTCTGTGCCTTGAGCTTGGGTCCCTGGAGGGGCTCACCTTGTTTTGAGGGCGACCTTCCTCTTTACTGGGCGTTTCTGGGAGGCTGTCCTTGGGCAGAGCTGAGTGCTCTTTCCTGGGGAGGGTGTCTGTGGTGGTGGCTTTTGTGTCCAGGACACCTTTCTCACAGAGCCACTGGCACCCGGGGAGGTAGTGACAC